GAAAAATAATATTAATAAATAAAATATATTATTTAATGTATATATCATTTTTATTTTATCAAACAGTAAAAATCATTTGCTTCTAATATAGATTTTTGGAGTTCATTTTTTAGTCCTTAATTCTTAGATTTCAAGGATTATGATTTTGTTTCTACTGAATTTATACTTATATTTATGTTGTATTTTACATGCATATTTAATTGAATTATTAATGATTTTTTTTTTATGATCAACTTAACTGTATTGTAATGTATGTTAATTTTAATAATATCTTCTCATTTTATTCATTGTTTTTATGTGTATACTATAAAATGAAGTCTCAATATAATTTAAATATTTAATTGATTTTATTTATGATTTCATGTTATGTATTAATTATACCATTTTATTCTTTTTATCTTTTTCTATATTTAAATGTAATTTTTCTTTTTATTATATTTAAATTTTCTATTACTTATATATTGAACATATATTAATAAATGTATATTCAATTATATATTATAATTATGGAATTTTTTTTACATTATACACATAGCGTAAATGAATATACGACAGAAGATTGAATTATTAATTAATAGTATATTTCATATCTACTCATATATAATAATAAAAGCAATTCATTATTTCATGCACTAACATATGTTGAATATTGATATTATAATGACGAAACACTTAATAAATATTCAATTTATATAATATTTAATACTTATCTTTTTAAGGAATTATTATTTCATATAATAGTATTAGTATTCCGTTGTATATTTATTTATATTTTTTACATTATGCTTCGTAATCGTACATGAACAGCATTATTAATATGCATGATCCCTTGAATTGTACATTATTTTTTATCATATATATATTATTATATAAAAACGAAAGAATTTATATGTGAAAATAGGTACTGTTACGTCTTAGTATTGTGTGAAAAAAACTATTTTATATAACTAATAACTTTTTTTAATGGATATGAATAAAAAATTGATAGAATTATTATGAATGCGCTAATTAATGACCATTAAAATTCATATGTTATAATAATTTAATTATGTATATAATTTTAAAAAATATATCATTTTTTAAACTCTTATATTACTTCTATAGATGTTTGTAGTAATAATATATAATGACATAATTACATAGTATATATTATTTGTATATTTTTTTTACGTTCAAGTTAACATATGCAACTTACTATAAAAAGTAAATTTAAAAACACAAAGTTTCATACAAATATTCAAAGTATTAAATAACCAATATTAATATATTTTTTTTTTTTTTTGAAAATCACATAATTAAAACTATATAATTTTTATATAAATGTTTATGTATCACTAATTATTTTCTTTTTTCTTTGCTTTGTTATATATTAAACATTCTGATTTTTTTATTCAAATATTTATATATGCACAAAATAGGCAGAAAACAATTATTATTATAATATATATAGTGAATAAATTTATAATTAAATTAATCGATGCAATTTCTATAAAAAACCCTATGATTATGATTAGAAAGAACGAAATAGTTCTTCGTATAGTGTGTTATTATATTTGGACAACCATTTAAATAACTTATATATTTAATTAATTATTAACCCGAAAAATAATATAATATTTCCAGAGCTGGAAAAATTCATTGTAATTTTTTTTTGCAAAAATATTTATGGATTTTGCTTATTACAATTATTTAAACTATTTTTCAGCAAAATATATTTATAGTAATAGTGTTGCATTTTTCCATTTTTTAATTTGAATTATTATATAAAAACTTTTCCATAAATAAGGATGTTATGAATTCATCTATTGTTATATCCATTTTTTCTGCAGTCTTAAATGAATATAATTATATTAAGCATTATATTAAATAAAATGTATTAAATATGTTATGTTACAAACATATATGCAATAGTTTTCTGGGATATTTATTTAATATAAATGAAAACACTAGAGGAGCCTTTGAATATATAAAATGGATTACTATAATTGTACTATTGCGGATGTATCGACAACTAATTTCTGAAAATCACAGTAAACATATAAACGGAATTTAGAATAAATTTATCAATCTATTCATTAATATTACTCCGGATACATTTTTTAAACAGGAGAGAAAAGTTAAATATCATCCAACACTAATAGTTGAAATTCACATAAATATTTTATTTTAATACTATGTTTAGTAATATTAATATCTCTATATTAAGATAATTTATAGGGAAATATAAGTGTGTCATAGTCCCTAAATACTATATAACATACATGAGAAAATATAATATATGCATGTATAATGTTAATGAGAACTTGGATAATGTAAAAGTATATATATATAAAATTTATATGACACTATATCTAAATTAAATACAGTATGTATTAATAATGAAGGAAAAGCCTAAAGACTAATTAGAAATGAGAACATAACATTAACTTCAAAGAGATCTAATACTTCATCTGATATAATAATATTAACTACCGTTATAATACTAATTCCCGTTCTTTTATTTACACTGTGTATTATTATTAATGTTATTATGTATATTTATATAATAATATAATTTTTTAAGTGTTTTTAAAAAAAAAAAATCATATGATTAGTACATAATTTTTATCTGATTTGTATATTATTTCATTTAATATAATTCATCCTAGACTAGGGGATAAAAAAGATAATAAATAATTGGTGCAATATCCATAAAAAAAATAGAATAATGTACAAATTTCTGATATAACAGACAATATCTCATAAAATAGAAGATATCTTACTTTATATAATTTTAGTATTAAACATATAATTCCAATAAAATATTCACTTTAAACAACATATAGAAAAATGTACATAAATTATTTGAACAATAACCCTATTGATATGGTATTGTAAATGTTTTAATTACTTGTTATAAAAATAATTCATTTGATTATAGGGAGACCAAAAAATCATGCAAAAACAAATAAAGATAATAGGAAAAATATATTAAATGTTATTTAGGTATCTGTGTTTATTTATACAAATAACTTCGATTATTCATTACCTTTAGGGCTGCTTATAAATCCAGAGCTAAAAAAAAATTATAAAAACTAATATAATCTATAATATATACTCATTTATGATTGTAAATGCATTCTTATGTATAAAAGTATGTGATGACAGGGAGAAAATTAATCTGGTTATGAGAATAAGTATATCTCATGGTAAATTTAGAATAATTTTTATAAATTTTATTTTGCCTTATTAAATATTTTTATAATTTTTTCTATAGTAAATTATTTTACATAAGGGTTTTATAAATAATTTTGTAATATACATAGATTTTTTTAAACATATTTTATTTTTTGATGCTTTATATTAAATTATTTATTTAAGAACATATATAATCTTGTGTTATTTATTTATATTGTTTTCAAAAATCAGGTAAAATTTTATTTTTTACACTCTTGTATTCTAATACATAAGTTATATATAAAATCATAGCTATCATAAATATAGAAGGAAAATAATGTTTGATTGTTTAATACTATAAAAGAAAAAATGATGGTTTTCATGGAAGATAGATGCTGTTTTGATTCATTGAATAAATATTTATTCAAGAATATATATGAAATTTTTTTTTTATAAGCGCATAAATTTTTTATTAATAAATAATACTAATATAATGTAATAACAAATAATATGCAATAAATATAATATAAATTAGAATTAATTATTTAAAATCTAAAAAGAATCAATTACCTGTATAAAAATATTTTATTCATAAAATAAAATATTTTTTATAAAATTTAATGTGTTCTTCTACAATTCATTTTTGTATTATATATATATATAAGTAATTTACATTTATACGCTGAATACATTAGTAAAATTAATAAGATTTAATAAAATATATTATAAAAAATGTCTTAATCATATGTAGTGCATTTTATATGTTTATTCATGATTTATTGTATGGATATAATAATATATATTCTAATTAATATTTTATTTTGAAATTCTATATTACATCTTAATTATATTTAGTACACATGATACTGACTGTTTTAATTTACAAAAAAAAAAAAAGAATATAATATATACATAAAAAGAATTAATAAGTAATATATTCTTTAATTTTATATTTTGAGAATATATATAAATCCTTTATGTTAAAAAATTTATGAGATATCTATAATTTAATTATAATTTTACATTATTCCCAATATAAATGAAAAATATTATTATTATAATAAAATATGTATATTATGTAACAAATGATACAAGTTTTATATTACATACCTGCCTTTGTGTAATTAATATTATAAAATAATTCATCTAATATATGTTATTATTAAAAAAACACATGTATAAATATATATTAAACTGCGCATTAAACACATAACAGTAGATATAATATATTAAGTAATTAATACATACCTCTTATTATACATATATGTAAATCACATAAATTACGATGCTACATATGATTCTAATTTATCATTCTTCATGCTACAGCAAAGAAATTATTGAAATATGAACTACAGTAATTAATTATATTAATATTTTGTATACTTTTACGTTAAAAATTATATTATTAATTATACATTAAAAAATAATAAACAATAATTATATATATTTATTTATTTTAATAACATATGTTAAAGTTATATGTGTTTTATATTGAATATATTTAAAATGATTTAAAATTATTATATAATATTATATAATTAATGTTATATTTTAAATGTTGTCATGTTTATTTTTTCTTCCTTATAAATAATATATTTACATTGTTTATTATTTCTCTATATTTATTTATCTAATATATTATGTTTCATAATTATGGACTATATATTTTAGGACTTACAAAAATTAGTAATACTATATATCGTGATATTATTAAATAAAATCTATAATTTTAAAAGGACGAAAATAATAATACTTAAAATCACTTATAATTGTTTATAAAAAAGTATACAAAGCTCTTAATAATTTTAATCATTTCTTTTTATTTATATACACTCTTATCCCAAATGAATGAATCAATAGTATGTTTAAATTATTATATTATGAAATTTTCAATTTTTCCATATTTAAATAATATATTCATTTTATGAAAAATATTAAATTATTGGAATATAATTCTTATATCAATGTTTTTTTTTTCCAATCAGTATGATGTTTTACATTTATTCCCCCTGTGTCAAGAAATTATACACAAGAATATAGTTAATATAGACCATGCAAGTGATATATGGAAACATGCATGTAATAGTAATGGTGATAAAAGTAAAATACATTATTTGAAAGATGATTACTTAAAAAGTAAAAATATATGTACCATAGCTATGTTATATTTAGTTGATATTCAATCTATAAAGGAAGACACATTAACAGAAGCAGGTTGTAAATACTTTTATTATTGGTTATCTTATAATTTTAAAGATATCAAAAGTATTGAAGATATTACATATAATTATAAAGCTTTCCTTAAAATATATAATGAGGTATTAAAAAGTGTTAATGGCAATCATAAGTGCAATAAATATAATGATGTCATTGCAGCAGAAGATTTTCATTTACTGAAAGCTATACATGATATGCACACAAAATTTAATAATATTAATTTGTTTGAGGAGGAATATTCAAAAAATATTAATTTTTATAACACAGTAAAGAGCTACGTAGAGCAATATAATTACAGAACTAAAAATAAAGTTAGTATAATCAGTGAAATTAGAGAACCTTCAGAATTCCCATTAGTAAGTAATTGTCAATATAGTATTGGAGTTCCTATTCTAATTACAGCTTTTATAACATTATTGATATCATTATTATTGTTTCTTTTTATTAAAGTTAAACATATTTTTGTACATATATATTTGTACCACGAAAACAAAATTTATGACAATTTTAATAAATGTAATTTTATAATAAAAATAATTATATTTTGAATACGTTAATTTTTTTTTTTATGGAGAAGTTTACAACCCTTGGATCATATATTTTTAACGCAATACTAAGAAATAGGAATGAGTGGAATAATGTATATAATGAAGTAAATATAATGAAGCCATATGAAATATCGAGTAGTATTTCTAGTGATAAAAGATATAATGTATTATATAACTGTGATTAATTTTACAATTAAAAATTTAATTTGTAGAAAATATTTTTATTAAGGATAGGTAAAATTGTGGAAAAGAATAACGTTTATAAGTTTAAATAATAATTCATAACAAAATGATATAGTAAATATAATAAATACAAAAATAAAAAAATACTATATTCGCAATTTAATGAGATATTAATAAAAAATGCATAATAAAATAATACTGGAAATATAAATTATCAAGTGTATAAATAGCTATTTTAAGTATTATAAACAAATTCCTATCTCACCTGGTTTTAACATAAATTAGTTTGTAAGACTTACATATTTTTTAAGCTTAAAACGGTATATTCTAAATAAAATATTAATATACATATATACTAATTTTGTAATTTATATGTAAAGAATATATTCTAATAATCGCTCCATATAATATAGATTAATTTTTTTTTTGTATATCATGATATTTCATTATATATTATAATATATATGTGAATTTGTAATTATGAAACGAGGATATTACTAATTACATTCTAATTATTATTAATAATACTTATATATGTTTAAATAACATGTATATTATATGTCTTCTCCTATATCATGATAATTATTGATGTTTTATTTTACATATGTTCTATTATTACATAGATAGAAACAAATGGAGGAGCCTCAAATAATATTTGTATCTTAATATATTTCATTGGGATAATTATTTTTTTTTAATGAACTAAATTTATACTTATTTACTTTAAAATTTAATTTATAAAATTATGCTGTACTTAGTTTGATACAGGATACAGTATTTAATAACAGAAATAAAAATATGTATATATACTTTTTTCTTTATAAGCCACGAAAATTTAGAGTATAATGTATAATAAAATATTTGATATCTTTTATTCATATATTGAATTGATTATTTACCTATTTAGTTAAATTTTTATATTATATCGTGCATACATTTAAAAGTAATAAAGATATATCATTGAATTATATTTTGTATTTAATGCATGTATAATATTTTTTGATATATGAAAAATGAATACTTCAAATGTTTTTATATAGAATATAAAAATATGAAAAATACAATATACATATATTAATGTTGTAATTACGCATATGTAGTTGAAACTCATATCATGGTTTGGAATAATATTTATATAAAAAATCAATTATACATTACAGTATATAAATAAAATATAAAATAATTATCAAGTTATAAATGTGCTGAACTTTATAAAAAGTACATTATTTATCAATTAGATCATGTAATAAATGTGATGAACACTATGTATTATTTTATAATTCTTATATGTAATGAGGAAAAATTTCCACACTTCTTTATAAATGAGACATGGCAAAATTTATGTTTTCGTAAGAATAAGCACAGTATATGTATATTTTTTTTATGCAAGATAATTTATATATATTTTTTATTTAATATTCATAATCCTTTATAATAGGATTGTAAATATACAATAATTTTAATATATAAAATAATAATCAATTCTAAAAAAAATATGTTAAGCATATTTCATTCCATAAAATATATAATATATACAAAATATTATCAGTACATAAACAAGTATTTATTTTATCATATATATATACATAAGCTGTTTTTCTTATATATTATCAAAAAATATATAAATTTCTAATATGAATGTGCATGCATATAGATACATTGCACTTGTGCTTTTGATACAACATTCAAATATTTTGCTTTACGAATATATATGGTTTAGGATCTCTAATGTACTACTAAACTATACTTTAATGTATATTTTAAAATATAAGTAATTAAAAAAATATAATAATAAAATTATGAATACGAAATTATATTTTTAATACACAAAATTTTTATTATAATATAGTTTTCTTCAAATATATGTTGCACAAGAAGTACAATAATAAGGAAAAGTAATGAGAGCTATAATATAAGAGAATAATACAACTTATTACAATATACGTTATTTTTCATATATAGTTCACAGAATAATGAATATAATATCTTATATGTAACAACTTAATGTTGCATTAAAAATATAAATGTAAAAAATTATTTGAAATCAACCAAGTAAAAAATTGTTTACGTAAATTTAGTAGAGAACCTTACTTTTAGCTTGATATAAGAACAAATATTCTTTTAATATATTAGTACAAAAAGAAAAATTATTTTTAAGTTTAATAATGTAATAATATCGAATGATAATTTACCGAAATTCCAGAATTATTCTATAATTGTGAAAATAGTGAACATGAATACTAGAAATAATTTTTTATTCTAATATTTTCTTATAAAGTTATTTTTGAAGAACAATTCTGTATTAATCTATATAATATTATATGATCACTCAGAATATAATACACTATATGAAATAGTATATAAAAATATATGCAAATAAGAAATTGATAAAATCATGGTATATAGCTTATGTAAATTATTTTTATGGATATAATCTTATATTATAATAATACTGAATATTACTCATTACATAAGAAATATAGAGTTTTATTTGTAATTCATTATTTTTTTGTTATTTTATTCCATAAATTATATTTTAATTCTATGTACAGAATGTATGTCTACACTTATGATTATAATGTGTGAACATTTATTATCAATAAATTATTTTTGTTTTCGTAATGGCACAAGTTATATCATTTGATTTATTAGTAACTTTTATTGTGGATATTGATGTTTATTTTTTGTTTTTTCTTATTTTAATGTAATAACTAAATTGTTTTGATTCATATATTGCTGATGCATATTTTTCAGTGAATGTATCATTCTTGTGGAAAAAAATAAAAAACATCATATATTATTTTTTTTAAGATGTTCTCTAATGTTATATTATTGCATTATATATATAACATATGTGCTTACACTAAGTATTATTAAATCATATAATAGTATATTTTCATATAATTTAACATTTCTTTATGCATATTCCTAAAATGAATAAATTATAAATAGATCTATATTTAAATTTTGGCAGTCTTATTATCTATATTAACACATTTATTAAAAAATATATATGTATTTATTTTTTATTTCTACTATACTCATATTATACAGGAAAAATATTTATAATGCCTAATACAAATATAAAAAAGTAAAAATTTATTTTTGTGAAGAAAAAAAAATAAAACTTCATTATATAAATATGTGTCCTTATTTTATCTTTGTTGTAAACTTTATAATCTTTAGAAATATTCTTGATATATATTTGTCTAATTTTAATATCAAGCTGATTCCTTTAAAAAGAAAAATTATTAAAATTATTATGAAATAAAGTAATTTCAAATTAAACCATTTTCTTCTTTTATTTAAATACGTTTAAATGGGAATAAATAAATATTTAAATTGCATAATTCACATTTCTTATAATGTCAATAGGATATCTCTTCTACTAGCAATGGAATGATTTAAAGTACTACCGAAAAAAGAAAAATCATTAAATGTCTCAAAATAAAAAAATATATGGTCGCATCTATGTAGAGAAATATCATTATATATTAATTCATTACTTCTGAATATAGCAATATGTGTCTTCTTCATGTTAATAATATTTTTTAATATATTTTAATTTTCTATTTGTTCAAAATATGTTGATTATATATAATCTATATAGATTTTCTTCAAATTTCTTATTATACACACGAAAATATAATGTATACACAAGGAATTTTGTGCTTCGATGGCAAATACAGCATCATTATTGCATTACATGGAATTTATCTTCCCTATCTAAGTATAACATTAATGTCCATTAAGGAATAATTCTTATATATATAATGATTTATAATTTTTTAATGAATTATTTAATAATTGAATTTCTTGTTTATATAATCCTTTTCCTTAGTATTAATATTTCTTTACTAATGAAATTTTATTCACTTTATATTCTTAAGGAAATATATATCCTCCATTTTATGATTTCATTCATGAAAAAATCTAATTTCTCATATGTGTAAATTATATATATATATAACTTAATATAATTCAAAATATATACTGAAAACATTCTTTTAATACTGAATGAAAGGTATGAAATTATTGTATTATATAGATATTTAATTTTCGGTATCATACTTAATTACATATAATGAAGCACCGAAATATGGAATATATAATGAGAAAAAGATGCATAATTAAAATCAATGTTATTAAAAAATTCCTTTTTTTATGAAAAATATACAATTATATCTATAAAATTTACAATAATTTCTAATGTTATGTATTACTTTTTATGTATACTACATTTTTATTTTATTACTCTAACATTTCCACTTAAACTCTATTTTCTGTATGATATATTGTCAGATGAAATACATAAAAAAAACGATCAATATAAATTCATTCGACTTTCTTATTTATATTTGAAATTATTCAAGTGCTTTCAAAAGAATAATTCTATTCTTTCTATATACTATAAGTAATTTAGTATTAATGCTAGTTGTGTAACTAATGAGACTAATAATTTTAGAACAATTTTAATCTTATGTAAGAATGCGATTAATCATAATAAAAAAAATTAAATTCACGTAAATCATATATTATCTTGGAAACATATAAATATTTATTATAATTATAATGTGCTATTGCATAATCTAACATATTCTTATGATTTATTACATATTACTGCATTAATAAATATTACATTACTAGTGTATAAAAAATGTAAATTTTTTATTTTTAATAAACTATGATATATATGACGTAATTAAAATTTCATAATATTTATAGTGATCTATACTATTCCACATACTTTGTTACATTTATTAAAATTACTTCAATTTACACTCACATTTATTCAATAAGTGTAGTATACTATTCTAAATCTTTTTTATATTAAGGGAAAACATGTTTCCAGATTGAATATATTTTTATAAATCCTTATATTATTCTTATTAAAGACGTAATATAGAAGATTCAAAAAAGTACTGTACGTAGTAGAATAAGAAGTATGAAGACACAAGCACACATAAATCGTTTAAAATGCATATAACTAGAAATTAAAAATTAACCTTATAATTAAAACAATATCATATAAATTATTATTTTTCGTTAATTCAATTTAGGCATTTTATATACAGTAAGATGAAAAATAATAACGTAAATAGACAAAAACACCTATAATAATATGTAGATATTTGTATTTTCTAACAAAAGTTTCAAAAAATAAATATTAGAACAGTATAAGATTGATCTATAAAACATCATTTAAAACATTTATTTAAGTTAATTTAAAATATATCCATAGGTAAAAGAAATATATTTATAAATAGAAATATTAGGAACTATATTTCTTATGATTTTATAATAGAAACATTAAACATAAATTGTGTGTGTGACTTTTTAAACTAATAACATTTACCTTTATATATTATGCATATTTTTTTTTCCTGGCATTATTTATATTATAAAATAATTTTTCTATTATTTTTATACTACAGTATACTTTTTTGTTTATATTACATAGATGTTAGAAGTACATTTGTACAATAAAACAAAATTATACTATATGTATAATGTTCTATAAGATAATAATTCCTACCTATAATTTGATGCGTAATAAAGTACAAGAAACTTTAATATGCATATTTATCTCTATATATTCATTATTCATTATAAGTACTTATGTATTATATTCGCTAATGCACAACAATTCATAGTTTCAAAAAATTAATAATGCACCAAAATAAATAATAGGGGATTTATTCTTTATACTATGGTACATTACAAATAGATACATAGTGTTCAGTTAAATTTAAAAATATAAGGATTTTATATAGTAGATATAATATTAATATAACATATCACGTTAACATTTTTTTATTCCAGAAATAAATATCCAATTTCACGCTTACACAAAAAGTATAATTATAAAAGAGTTATGATATATATACATTCTCAAACTCCAAAATGTTTAATTTTCAAATAACCTTTATAAATTCTCATTGTAATGGCATTACAAATATAATTGTATTTTAAAATACTTTGATAATATAATCAATATATTTTTTATATAATATAATAACATCTTACACTATTATTTAGTATTTCAAAATACATTTAAATAATTCACCAGTGGCACGTATTTTATATTTAAGAATATATATAATATATTATATTATAAAACGTAATGTAAATATATATATGATGAATATTTTAGTAAAATCTCTTAAAATGAATAAATAAAAAAAATTATATATGTTAATATTAGACAATTAATGCAATATGAATACTTGTATAAATCTGGATTTATAGTTTGTATATTAATTTATCTTATTAAAATATAGTTAATGTACATGGTATTCAATTAAAATTTTCATATAAAATTTTATGAAAAAAATAGGCGATAACCTTAACATATATATGAAAGGCTCCATACACTATATATTAAATATAAAATGTGGTTATATAATATGAATATATTTTTTTAAACATATATATAAATATATGCTATCAAATATGATAGGTAAAAATTTTTTTAATTTGTTTTCTGTAAAAAAAATAGAAATACGTACATTATATTTTTTAATATTTATTAACATTACTATAGTATGCTATGCATAATATTTACAGAGAATGCATCAACCATTATAAATGGAAAATAACAACAAAATTATTATTAAAAAATAATTAAATTATATACTGTATCATGTTTTTTTAATAGTAGTAGAATTATGAACATTGACATGTTCACATTAAATTAAAATGCATACTCCATTTGCATATAAAGCATAGTACTATAAGGAATATAAAATTATGATAAATAAAACGAATTACTAGCAGTTATATTTAATAGAAATCATCTTACAGAATTAATTATTATAATTAAAAATATATATAATCTATAACATGCTTTCTACGAAAAATTTAAATTGATTAAAAATTATAATGCATATCAGACATTATAAATCACAGTTATCATATATTTAATTTTTTTTGAATTAAATTAATAAACATTAACATGCATGATAATGTATAAAAATATATGTTTTTTTTTTATGCTAAAAATTTAATATAATTCATTAATTATATTCAAAAGTAAAAATTATTGATAGCAAATTAATAAATGTCTATTAAACAAAATTAAGGAAAATAGACTTACGGATGCAATTTAATGTTGTTAAACATAAAAATACCAAAAAAATACTATATAATAACAAATATAATGAGTTCTAATATACATGTATTATTCAAAGTAAGATACTTTTGTGCGAAATAAATTACATATATTATTTATGTAATTATGACACTTTAATTTAGATATAATAATGAATAACGCAAAAAAATATATTATGTTATACAAATTACAATTTTAAATATGCATACGCACGATAATATTTAACCTGCAAATATAAAGACGATAATTTCACTTGTCTAGAATGTATTAGACAAATGCTATTTTTTTTTTAACATTTTTTAGGCAATATATATGGTATAATCCATCTAATTACAAGAAAAATAATAAGAAATGTAACAAGATATACAATTACAGAAAAAACATTAATATAATTTTTACAAAAGTAATAATATTCCCTTTATTTTATTTTTCTCTTTTTCGCTCTCAATCTTTTATATTTTATAGCTTTTACGATAATGTAAAAAATTATTGATAAATAAATAGCGAGTATTGCAACGCATGGTATAGAATATAAGGGGTTAATAGAACTCACACTACTCGAACTAGGAATAAAAGATAGTGGATGTGGTCCAAAAAATATATAATTTATTGCTCCAACTAAAAGAATAACGGGAGTTAAAAAACCACATACGCATTTCGTTCCATAGAAGCTTCTTTTTGAATTTTTATTCGTAACAATGTCATGTTCTTTATCTTTATATAATTTTTCAAGGTGACTAAATATTTTTTTTTCAAAGTAATAATCAATCCATTTTAATTTTTTATATTTTGTTGTTACTTCATTTAAGCTTTTGTTATCACAAAGAAGGTTATTTTTTGCATATTTATCTACCCCCTTATTTGTTGATATATTTTTTGAGTAATTTTTTAACATTATTTCTTCCTTATTACATGATAATGATGCTTTTAAGTTTTTGCTATGACGTTGAATGTCATTTTCTCCATATCGTTTATCTTTTTTATTTAATGGTATATCTCCTGCCTCATTTTTTAATTTCATATTGTCCTTATTATAAGATACAGATTTTTTTAATTCTTTGTCATTATAAGGAATGTCATTTGTTCTACATTCTTGAAATTTTTTATTTAATGATATATTTTCTGCATAATTTTTTAACTTCATATTATCATTATGATAATATAGAGGTGTTTGCAACCCATTTTTATTATGAGGTGTACTATTCATTCTACATCTATCAACTTTTGCAGGTAATGGCATATTTTCTGCTTCATTCTTGAACTTCATATTTTCATTATGATAAGATAAAGGTGTTTTCATTCTATTTTTATTATGAGGTGTGCTGTTCTTTCTACATCTATCAACTTTTGCATTTAATGGCATATTTTCTGCCTCATTCTTGAACTTCATATTTCCATTATGGTAAGATAGAGATACTTTTAATCCATTCTTATTATGAGTAATGGCATTTTTTCTGCATACTTCAACTGTTTTATTCATTGGTATATTTTCTGATTTATTTTTTAACCTTATATGTTCGTTTTGAAGTGATAGAGGCACTCCTAAGTCTTTATTTTCACGTTTTTTTGGAAAATCATTTTTTGCTAATAAGCGTTCATTTTGTATACGTAACGCCTTATTTTTATTGTATATATTATCTAAATATGTCCCCAACACACACTGAATAAATAAAATGAAATATATTTTTTTATAAAATAGCTAGCTTCAGATAAAACATATATAGATTTTAAATATATATCATATTATATATAAGTGTCCAAATATTATTAAATATTATTTAGTACCCCTTTGTTAAAATATGGATATATCCATGCTAGTACAATAAATATTAGAATTCTTGTAAAAATTACAATCTCCTTATTTCCTTCAATGTTGAAAATTCTTAATAGTACCATGATAAAAAAGACTTAAAGAAACTAATTTTCTAAAGAGTAAAAAGAGGAAATTGCAATATAATTTATGTATGTATTTCATGTATAATATTATATATAAAAATAGATCAAATGGTATCAATATTGACAAATTAAAAAATTTATATGTATACTTTAAAATATAACAGTAGTATGAATTATGTAAATTTTAATACAAGTTAATTTTAATTAAGATATTTTTAAAATGAGCCACTGATCTATTTTCACATTCTATAATTATTTCAAATAAAAAATAAAACTAGAAGACCAAATTTCATCTTAACATACATGTGCATAAAATATTATTAAAATTATATATTTTTTTTAAACAGCTTATTGATCATTATTTACAGTAAAGTGACAAACAATTCTAATATATGATTACTTATATAAATGCGCACATTTCATCCATAATAACATCATTTTATTACACTCCTTTATAAATATTAACCATTAAAAGTCACAATATACATTGCACTTTATTACAAACAAGATAAGCGAAAATAATTATAAATACATCTAAATATATATATTTAAATTAATTATATATTTCACATTTATAAATTTCCAAAATTAGAAAATTATATCTGTTCTCATATATGATTATACTATAGCTTTATGATCTATGTATTTATGAGCATGTAAAAAGTAGACAACGATTTTCATATATCTAATTTTACGAAATCAATTATAATAACAAAAACGAATTATTTAATAAATATATGATAAAATTTTAAGGGTAAAGATCCCTAAGAAATTTGGATAATATTCATTCATTTAAAACATTTTATGTTAATACTTCATAATTTAAGGTTCTGCCTTTAATGTTAATCGTTTGGATCTTAGTTTTAGCTTCTATCATAGGAATCTCATGGTCTATTCTTGTGATTTATGTTT